GGACGCGCCCTAGTGTTGCATCGGCAGGAAGCCACAGTCAAGACGACGTACGCACGCTAGAGGGCGCGCAAAAAGAACATCAGTATACTTCTAATCAACAATTAACAATTGTTAAAATTTATTGTAAAAAAAGATGCCAATAATTTATTCAAATCTTTTAAGAACCACAGGGAAAATTATAAATCATTAGATCAAAGTTACTTTTAAGGCCATAGGTCGATAAACATTTGAAAATAGGGACACACGCTGAATATAACTAAACGCGTTTCGGGGGCCCCACAGGGGGAAATAAGCATGCGGGAAGCCAATTAATCATCTATCAGCTCATCGGTCCAGCGGTGTTTGACTAGTAAGTCCAACCGCGTTTGATCTCTCCTAGTAAACGGTGATTTTGGCTACAAGCCAACAACCGATTGCATTATTTTCCTGTCTTAATCACGGTGATTTTAGCCACGAGCTAACAACTGTTTGTCTTATTCCGACCAACCTGGTGGTGTTTTAGATTAAAATCTACAACCGCTTCCTTGTTTTATCTTACTAACGGTGTTTTTAGCCTAGGCTAACAACCGTATCCATCCCACTCCACTACTGTCCGTTTCAAACAGCTTACGCCAGTCACATTAATAGTTATTTTTTTTATTTATAGGCTAACCACCGTGTTCCGCCCCTCAGCGTACATAGTTTATATTCTTATTTTTTTTTGCTCGCTTTTTTTTTTTGCACGATTTGGAACGTTACTGTAAGTAAGAATCTTAATATTCGTAGTTAGGAGTAATTTTCTAACCCATTCGCTCCAGCGGTGTTTATACATAAAGTATCAACCGCGGTTGGGCGAATCGGTTTTATTTTATATATATATATATATATATTTTTTTTTTCTTTTCTTTTTTTGGCATCTTTCAACACATTTTCAAACACCAGTGTAAAGTAGACAAACACATATTGTATTACTAGAAAAAAGTAATAATAAAGGATTTTTAAAATTCTTTTAAAAAGGAAAATTACGAGTTATTTAATTGTAGTTAGAAAGTAGTTAGTAAACCCTTCATTTAAATATACTTTGTAATTAAAAGAACAGACCTATTCTGTCAAGAACACAAGGGATAGGATTGTGTGGATAGGTAGGGGTTGTTTCAGAGTCTTAATTATTAAAGATATATTCATGACTCATAATATTACTGATATGAAATCAGCTAAGTTAAATTATTTTATGTCTTTAAAGTTGAAAAGATATCGACGGTCTTGATTTTTTTTAAGCCAATTTTTTCAAACGTAAAAGAATGAAAAGTATGGCAAATATCAGGTTTTTCGAACACAGTCTCCTTATTAAGACATTTTAAGATATAGTACTACCGATAAACGTTGACAAACTAAAATAACCTTCTTTAGAAGGTGTGAAAACTATTCTAGATCTAGATTTCTAGAGTGCGACTATATACTAGAATTTCCTTGAAAATCTGCAACTGAACTATTTTTTTTGTTAGGAAAAAAAACCAACGAAAAAAGAAGGGGAAATTACACTTTGCCTGTAATGTCCCTAGTGTTTGACTGTTGTGTGAACCAATACATATCATGTCGAAGCTGAAACTATATCCACAAACAAAACGATTAAATAATTTAAAATAATTAAATAATAACATTTTTTCCCATTATTTTGAGGGTAGATTTGTTGCCAAATTTCTTTGGAATAATTATTAAAAACAGTATTATCAATACACGTTGACCAAACAAATCATATTAATAACTATTTCTCCGCAGCTAGGGTGGACATTTTTTCTTTATTTCGCTTTTTTAGATGTATTTGATTAAAGTCTGAAAATTAAACCCAAGGTAGATCTAGTGTGGGGCTGTTATATTTACACTTTTCTCAAAAAACTGTAGTCAAACATTTTTTTGTATTGAGAAAAACACTTTGACCGTAGTCAATTTCTAGGTTGCTATGTGTGAGTGAACCAACAATCAGAAGGTAATGAAAAAATGTTTAATATTATATTGTTAACTACCATATATGGGTAACTATGGCAATAAATTATTATAGACAAACGATCAACCTTAGTCGTATCCAGCCTAATACCAAAAATACATTTTTAAGCACATTACTGACAGTGGTTTCATATAATATGTATGTATCTACGGATAAACATCGAAGCGTTTGTTTAAAGCGATTTTATGACTTTCAGTTGTATTCAATTCTATAGGCCTGTGACCTCTCTGCTCCACTATGGTCAGTCTTCACTATGCCACGTACTGTCTTTAAAAAAAAATGTCTTAATATATAATTATTTTTTCCAGGACCCACGGTAGCTTCTAAACCACTGAACGAAATTCGTGTAGCAACTCTGTGGATCAGAAATCACACCTGGAAGGTAATTAATTAACAGGTAAATGCTTTTTTTTCTTATTTCAATGAATTATTTTAAAATCACAAAACAAATAAATAACACAGCTTATGTGTTTTGAATACGTTTCCGTGTTAGAAAACAAATGTAATCTTACTTATAAAAAAAAAAAAACGATGGCAAAACGTCATATTTCCAAAAGGTCCAACATTTATAATCTTGGTTATGTTCAAACGATAACTGTTTTTACAAAAAAAACAATTCTTTTTGATTAACTTATTTACTCTTGCTCCGTAAAAACGCTTAAACAGTTCAACCTTCAATGCCCAATTTTCAACATTTTATTGTTATTAATTCGATGGACCAGTCATTATTAACACTTATAGTAGCACCCAGATATGTAAATTGGTGAACTTTTTTCAAATGTATGTCCTTGAATCACTGCATTATCGACATGGTTGTTGTTTGGTGATAGCTCCATTACTTTGGTTTTATTATAATTCACAGACAACCCTATGGCTTTTTTGGGCTAGTCTCTCTACATCGTTACCTACTAATTATGTTTAAATAATGTGAAAATTAAAAATACTAATCTTGTTTGTTCAACTTTCTTTGGACAGTATGTTGTCGACTCTTACTTGATCTTTTGTACCATTCAAACATAATTTTGTCAGGGAAATGAGCTTACTTGGAAATCCAATTTTATACATTACATTTTAAAGGCTTTCCCGATGGATGGTATCATAGACCTTTTTGAAATTGACTAATATCTGCCACACATTATTTTTGTATTCAATTTCTTTTCCATAATCTGTCCAATCACCGTCAGCTGATTTATTGTAGATAACAACTGGGCCACCTTAATTAAATTAATTTTTCCTAACAAAATAAAATTATGTTATTAATTTGTTACATTTCTGCCACAATGGGCACTGAAGGGTTAAAATAAAAAGCTATCTTGAGCTAAACTTTACTTTTTAATAATTAAAAATCTTATGAGTTTTTAAATAACGCTTTAGTTATTAATGATTTTTGTTTCTCTAATAGATTCATAAAATAAATATAGCGTTTTACCAATCATGTATCAGTTGACTTCACCTAAGTTTATATATAATTTTTTCAATATATAGTACAATATAGTACATATCAATTAAAAATATTACATTTTTTTTTATATGATTCTTGTTCTTATTGTTTCTTTGTAAATTAATAAAACTAGCAAATCATTTAGTATTAATGTTCACTTATTTTGTAGTTAAATATCTGGACTCACTAATGCCGATGCTTAAAATACTATAATGTGCAGCACCGAATCTTATTATTTTTTTTTTATAAAATTCGTTTTGATATAAAACGAATCTGTTCTTTATTTTTAAACACGATTATAAACAAAAATTCAATATTATTTAGCATTGATTAAACATCTTTTCTTAGATTTCTTTCTGGTTGCAAAAGTGTAAGGAGTTCCGGAAAAATAAAAAATTGATTGTTGTCAAACATCGTAAAATAACATAAAATCTAAAATGTCTCCCAAAAGTAAAACTACAAAATGACAATTTTTTTTTCAGAGTATATTCGTGTCTTAAATTACATATTATTACCATGTCTGTATGCGGAGTCCCTTAGCCCTAATAATGCATGTACACAGTTGAGCTTCGAAAGTTAGTTAGTTTGGTACTTACTATAATATGTTCAAATACTGTTGTGTATTTCAGTACATACACCCCGGGCTATTAGGCAACCTAATATACAGTTCAGTAAACTAGCCCTTCACATAACTTGCGAGGTTCTTGTACTTGTAGTGCAAATTATTTAGTTAAAAATACTTATTTTTTAATTTTTTTATAACAAATAAAATTACATAGTACTATCTTTTAGATAATACAGCAACTGACATTGGGATTTGATAAGAAATAAAAAATACTAAATCTTCACATTTAATATTATAATACGATCAAATACTTTTTCGATTTCAAATTGTTTAAATTAATATAAAAAAAAGTAATTTTTCTTTCATTCTTTAATTGAATAATAAGGACAAATATTAGGACAGTTAATGTTGATCGTTAATTTTGTTAATACGAACGTTCTTATTCTCCGTTTACAATTAACTGTATCACTCTGTATACTCTATGAATAAAATTAAAATATTATAAACACAGTATATTTTTAATTATAGCCGAACCTTAGTGCAACGATTTTTGTACACTTTGGCTGTACTTAAAAGTTTTGACTAATTTATTTCTAATAATTTCCTGAGATTGTTTTTTTTACAATTTGTAAATTTTTACCTTCACCCTAAAAAAAATATAGACTACACTATCCATCGTGTTAAAATGTCTAAAATACTGTTAGACTGTTTTTAACAATTATTATGCATACTTGTGTCTTGTGCTGTTAAAGATGGCTTCCAGGACCTAGGATAGGTAATTGTAATGATTTCAAAATAAAAACGTCATTTTTACGGTATTACTCTATTTATTTAATAATTTTATGATTGACAAAAACAAACTTAAAAGCCCTAGGTATCTCATATTGTTAATATGGGTTCAAAATATTAAAATAAAATATATATATATATATATATATATATATATATATATATATTATGTAAAAGTAAATAGGTAACTTTGAAAAGAACTATAAAACTACATACTCATTAATCTCACATAACCCTTACACATGAGTTTTATTATTTATATACCTCTCATCATACTCGTCTTTTTTGACATTCTCGTCATTGTCATCACTCCAATCATACTCATCACTCTCATCACTATCATCACTATCATCACTCTCATCACTCTCATCACACTCACCAATCCAATCAATCTCATCACTCTCATCACTCCAATCAATCTCATCACTCTCTTCATCACTATATCGTTTCATTAATATATAATCTGATTTCACTGCCGCCCCGAAGAACTCCAGGATGTCCAATATATGGTTGCCTGAAAAGTTACATTATTTTTAGTTAAAAAGTCTGTTTTATTTTATTTTGAAATCTACTCCAAAATGTAGACCACTAAAATATTATAATTATTGTGGATATATTAGTAATAATATCCGAAGATACTTTGTATTGTAGTAAAATCACTCTTTTCCTGTCTCGTAGAAATCATGAAAATGTCTAAATGGAAAAAATGTATTTACCGTATTCATAAAAATATATAAACCCCAACGATGTATAAAAACTCCAAGAAGCTATATCATTACCAATTGCATATTATCTTAAACTAATGGACACTCTTCCCTTTTTTTTTTAGGTAGGATTGGACATGTGATTGGAAAATTACACGAACCTATTATGAACCCTATAATTTTTATAAGGTACAACTTATTTTTTTCTAATAATTTTTTATCCTACATATTTATTTACCAAAAGAAACGTTATCAATTTAATATCGTTCCTTTTATGTAGATATTATCAAGGCGGTAAAAACTGCTACTGTAAAAATATGTATCTACACACATGAAACCGCCTAGATCATACACTATGATAGTTATTTAAAATAATTAAGCCGTTTTCGTTAAAACTATAATTTGCAATATTACCGTCGTTATCGAACTTATCAATAAAACTGTCAACGTTTTCGTTCGGGGAAACCATTTTTACAATGTTTATAAGTTCGGTGTTACTGAGTCCACCGTTACTATTGTTGTCAAGGTCAGCGAATTTCTGTAGAAGATCTCGAACTGATGTGGTAGTATATACGGCCTGAGAAAAAACGAAGTAATTCATATAGTACCTTTTTAGATTATGTAATGCACAAGAGGATGATAACCACTCATTATTTATAGTATGAGAAATCGGTTTGTGCGAATAACATATTATACTTTATGAGCTGTGATAATATCCAGTTCAACAACATTTTCAAAGGAAATTAGAAGAGTATATGATCTATGGAAACTTTTTGGTATATTTAATAACTTTTTATTCTATATGTCCTTATTGCTGTATTAATTAGTATACACCATAGTTAAAGCTCTAAATTATGATTTAAGGAAAAATGTCCTGTACTTAACTACTCTAATAAATAGATGTGTGCGTCCTCACTAAAGCATATAAAAGCCAATCGTAATAAAATGATTAATATTACATTTTCGTCGGCCTCTTTGTTCTGACAATGACGTTTTGCAATTCCTTCATTTTCGTTCATTTCGAGTACACCGTTTTTGTCAGTGTTGTGCTCAGATAAATTGTCTAAACCTTCGTCAATTGAAGTGATAGAAGATACGTTTTCAGCCTAAGATATCAACAGATTAATTTATATAGTACCTTTTTAGATTATGTATTGCACAAGGGGACGTAATCCACTCGTCTTTTGTGATACGATATTTGTGGTTGAGAGCTAAAGGTTTGAGAGAATAAGATATTTTCAATGGGCCGTGATAGTAGTGTGGTGATAGTATTTTCATAGGAGATTTAGAATAAGAGAGCATATTATCTATGGAAACTTTTTGGTAGATCCAATAGTTTTTTATTCTATATTTCCTCATTGCTACATTAACTAATTATACACTATAATTTAAGCTTAAAAATAAATTTTACAAAAATTGTCCACCGTTACTTCTTTAATAAATTAGTGGGTGCGTCCTTATAAAGGCATACCCTATCTTAATCATATTATTAATATTACTTCTTCGTCGGCCTCTATATCGAGTTCTGCTAAAATATCCAACTGATCTTGTAACTTTAATAGAATGTTTTCTAAAATAAATTATTGAGTACATTAATTTTTTAATCAAACCATTTTCATAGAATTAGAGTTGGAAAATAATTCATTAATTAAATTACAATGATGAGATAAATCATAAATTATATATAACGAACGAACACGTTACATAAATTTTCTATAAATAATAAAACATAATTTTTTTATGTATTATTTATAAATAACATATTATATCGATTCAAAAATAAATAAATCACATATTATTAAGAATAATAGTAAAAACAGATAATTCGAAACAAACTACTATTCTTGACTAATTTATTTTTATATTTATTTACCGAAAAATAATTTATAATAATTAAGCTGATTTAAATTAAACCTAATTCAAAAATATATAAATCACATATTTTAAAGAAGAATGATGATAACAAATAATTCGAAACAAACGACTAGATTTGAATAATATATTGCAGATTTTTTACCGAGTAAAATTAAAAAAAAAATTACAATTATTTCTAAATAACAAATAATAGATATCGAAAGAAAACATAATATAAAACTTCATTAATATAAAAGATTTGTTTATTTTGTATTTATAAAGGGTGTCTCAAAAAGAACGTCGGATTTAAATCTGCTATAAATTAAATTGATTTCTCTTAAAAAAACATACTAAATATATCATTCTCTTCAGGAGAAGTTTAGGTTTAACAGTGAAAAACAATATCGGGCATATGACCCCCCTACTAGGCCTACAGGCGATTATTCTTTCCATAAAATTTACCATCACTCGATCACACATTGCCCCATCGAGTTCGTTGAGGACACGACGAATTTGTTGCTTACGTTTAAGACATTTCGGACTTTGTTCTGGTAAACTCATGACTTAGTGTATCCCCATAAGAAAAAATCACACTACGTCAAGTTGCAAGATCGAGAACTTCTCACGCAGCAGAGCGATTGTTTCTCTTGAAGTATGACAAGTTGCGCCGTCTTGTTGAAACCATACATTTTCGATGTTCATTTGGTCCAAACGAGGCCAAAGAAAATTATTGAGCATAGCACGGTCACGAACAAAGTCCGAAATGTCTTGGAACTTAAGCAAGAAATTCGTCGTGTCCTCAACGGACTCGATGGGACAATGTATGATCGAGTGATGGTAAATTGTATGGAAAGAATAATCGCCGGTAGGGCTAGTAGGGGGGGGGTCATATGCCCGATATTGTTTTTCGCTGTTAAACCTAAACTTCTTCTGAAGAAAATGAAATATTTGTTGTTTTTTTAAGGAGAAATAAATTAAATATTCATAGAAGATTTAAATCCGGCGTTCTTTTTGAGACACCCTATAGCTAATTAGTGATCTTGAATAATTAAAAAATTGTAACCCAACCGACGAACGCCTCTATAATATATTTGATTTGGGTGTCAATTTTTTTAAATTAGAGATTGTAAAATTTCTTTTCTTAATTTCTTTTTTTAAATCATTAGTCCAACATATTTTTTTATTAAAGAAACATTTAATACCGTTCTTTTTATGTAAATATTATAACGGTGGTGTCTTGAGATTAATATTACTAATACCTACTGTGAAATATCTATACACCGAAAACCGCCTAAATCCCATTCTTTGCTCGTCCTCACCATGCTAGTTATATAAAATAATCAAGCTGATTTCGTTAACGCTATAGTTTGCAACATTACCATTGTTATGGTGTTCTTGAATAGTTTCACAGTCTTTGTTCTGACAATGATGTTTTGCAATTCCTTCGGGTTCTTTCATTCCGAGTACACCGTTTTTGTCGATGTTGTGCACAGATAAGTTGTCTAAACCTTCGTCAATTGAAGCGTTAGGAGATACGTACCCTTGCTAAAAAATCAACAAATTAATTCATAAATCCCTCTGGATTACGTAATTCACAAGAGGACGCAACCCACTAGTCATTTGTATTGAAAAAATTTGAATAAATACACTTGATAGGCTGTGATGATATTGAAATTTCCGAATTTTAATAGTTTTTTAGTATATTTTTAAGTTAAACAATTTTATAAATAAAAAATAAATAAATTAAATAATTTTAATAACTTTTTTAGTTTAAACTCAAGCAAACCTGTTTTAATGAAAAGATAATGTAATGTTTTTTAAAAGAAATTACTTTGATAGTCTGACAAAAACAAAAAACATAATCATTGTAAGGACCTCATTGCTGTATTAATAAGAATACAATATATTTTTAATTTCCTATACTTCACTACTTTAATAAATGGGTGGGTGCGTTCTTATTAAAGCCAATCGTAATAAAATTATTAATATTAGTCACTTTTTCGTTAATCTCTCTGTAGTAGTATTCTGAGGAGTTAACCATAAGCTCTTGCAACACGAATGGAGCCGTTCCTAAAATGAAATATTGAGTACATTTTTTATTTAATTATAATATATTCATAGAATCAGTTAGGTAACATTTTTAAATAAGAAATAAAAAAATAGAATCACCTTTAGTTAAATTACTATTTTTTTATATAAATAATAATAATAATAATATTAATAATAAGATAAGTATAATAACTCAAAAAATATTATAATATAATTGGTTTATTTATTATTTATAGCTGATACATTATGAAGATTAATTTAAACATCAACAAACTACACAATAGGAGTAATAGTTATAAAAATTTATTAATTTGTTCATAAATTATCAAATAATAAAATTTGGTTAAGTTATAGATAATATTTTACTTGCTTCGAATTAATACAATAAAATGTTTTTTTCCGAACTGTGCGTACAATGTTATTAATAAAAAACTAGATAATATCAAAAATGTATTCTTACGAGTGGTCTTCAAATCCACAAGGCTATTGTACTCATCTTTAACTATAGATAATTTTTTGTAAAAGTTTGTTATTTCAACATCATCAATGTGTTCGTCAACTTTTTTGTGATTTTTAATGTTGTTCAGCTCTTCAACCTGTTTCTTGTCTAACCCTTTTCCCTAAGTACAAGTATTGAAATCAAACAATTACAAAATATGTTTTTCTTAGACATAATTAAATGCCTTTTCAGACAAAATCATTTAACGAAACCGTAAATTCTTACACTTTTTTTTGCGACCAGGTAGCCTTTTAAGAACTCCGCGGCGTTAATTGTTTTATCACCTGTAAAATCCATTTAAATTATCAACTTTGACAATACAATAAACCACTTCGTTAACTCAATAATACCTTCTTGAAATCGTGCTTTTAAAAGCATTCTGACTTTACTTTCTAGCATTAAAGCATCAATGACTTGTAATACTTCGCTGTACTCAAGTAGACCATCGTTATTGCCCATTCGGTCTTGTGCCTCGAACAGGCTAACTAAAAGTTGTACTTCGAAAGATGTTAAAATTCGGAACTATGTAAAAAAACGTATGCAAATATAAGTATATAAAAATAATTAGAAATTGTCAATATTTTGTTTTGTTATTACCATCCAATCGTCAGATTTCTTATCGTTATTGGCCAGAAATACCAAAAGATCTTGTAGTGTTTGATTGTTGTTCATATCTATTAGTGCAAAATAAAATAGAAAAAATTCTACACACATTACAATAAAGCTAGTCAAATTAAAGTCAAATTAGACGTTAAATTAAAAAATTGTTAAATTCTCGAAAGACGGATAATATTTTTTACAGACAATTTAAAGATTTAATTACAACAGAAACGATTAAACCCAGTTTTAAACGAAAATTAATTACCTTTTTTGAATTCAAAAGCTGACATATCTTTCAAACCCAATATTTTTGTTATTTCCAAAACTTTTTCCATGGGAAGTTCGTTTTCACAATATTTGTAATTACCGAATACATCAATGATATCGTTGATTTGCATTCTAGAGAGTCCGATACTCTGTAAAGTATCATATGTACAATGAAATAATAACACATACAATAAACATTCTATTTTTATTGCAATTATAATTATGATGATGTTTTATGCTAACCTGTGTCACGGTTACGAAGTACAGCGCACAAAGAATAACAGCACTTTTGAAATGCATAATTGTTTTTATTTCAAACACTTTGTTAAACCATAATTCAATTTTCGATACTGACGTCGAATGAACAGTGAAATGCGATTTGGGGTGTCTTTGTAAGGCACGATTGGTAAAAACAATATAAGTATTGAAATATAGTTAGGTAGTTGTTTTTCGTTTTATTTTATTTACATATTGTACACCTTAAAAGTTGGGTTTTGACGCAAATGTATAGTATTACACACAGTGTAAACTAGAAAAATACTGCATATTTACTTTAGTGAAATACAATATTTTTTTTGTTATACATCGCACAAAAATAACAGTACAGGGTGTTTCTTTTATCATGAACCAGTCAATATCTCGCAGGGTTTAATTAATAATTTAATTTTTTTTTCTTTTCATATTGTTTTTATACAATGTGATTTTAATTTTTTTTTTGTTTTTACCCCCTTCGAAATTTCGATTTTTTTATAGCAATTTTTGAAACTTAAACAGTAACGTATATATTTTATTACCTTTTTAAATAGAGAATAATGCATTACAAATTTTAACTGGTCTATAACCAGTTTCGGATAACTATTTTTGAAGTTAAAGGAGTTTAAAAGTTAGGATGGGAGGGGAAGTGGAGTGTTGTATTATTTTTATCTGCGAGCATTTCACAACCGCACTGGGACGGGGGTAAAAACAAAAACAATTGTGAAAAGTTGAAATCACATTGTATAAAAACAATACGAAAAAAAAATTAAATCATTAATTAAACCCAGTGAGATATTGACCGGTTCATGTTAAAAGAATCACCTTGTATAGCGAACAATTAATGTTATTAGCAGCTTTATAATAAATATTATTCGTTTAAATGATGACCCATCGGATTTAATCTATTCTGCAGTTTGGTGGCGAGGTAGTAGACATAACATGTGATATAGGGCCCTAAAAGATTAAGCGATTAAGGGTTAATTTGGCTGAGAATGGACTTGCCGGTATGGACAAAATGAATTTATTCAACGTTATTAAAAATAACTAATAATCAATATTCGTCCGACTCGTGTAAATATTTTTCGGGTTACAATGATCACGGTACCGCGGCAATGTTTGTTTGTGCTGTGCAGTGGTATCTGCCGGTTTCTAAGTCAACGGTGTGACTGTACGTGTGGTGTGTTTGGCTAGGTGAGGTGAGGTGGTGGTATCTCCTATTCGCGATGGTTAAAGTTAAATATAGGGAAATTAATAAAAAAATAAGTAAATAAGTTAACAAAATATTTGGTCTGTGGTACTGGGCGTAAGCCTGTTTTGAAAAATGTGTTCTCCACTAACAAGAGAATAAATAAATAAAAAAAATTGTTTGTTAATTGTTGACAAATGAGAAGATAAGGCGGAATAAAATCCCCAAATTAATGGAAAAATAATGATTTTAAATATTGATAATTACCATCTTTGGTGAAGAACTACCAATGTTAACTTTTGACCGAGAACACATAATTTTACTGAATGTTAACAAATTGCAATTGACGATCTTAGTATGTAGACCTTAAGTTTAGGCGTATTACTTTGAAGAAATTTAGTCGAGCATCCTAGGTACCTATTGGTTTATACTAACAATGTAAGCCAGCAAATCATAGTTTAACTGTTGTTCGAGATTGAAGTTTATCAAACATATCATAATATTTTAAAGATATAGCTAAATGGATCATTTTTCATTATCTCCTAATTATTCAAAATGTTCAAAATCACTTCTAGGCTCTCTAATTCTTTCCATTTATGTCTCCATAAAATAATTAACTATTAAGCACTTCTAAAAATGTCGAAACTCATAGCAGCTAATATCTTTATTGTATAGTTTTCTATAGAATAAAATAAGTGTTACTCATTGAAGATGACTCATTTACTGTAAGAAATTGGTAAATTCGTAAATTTATTGTCTCCATAAAATAAACTATTATGCTCTTGTTAAAATTTTGGAACCCATACCAGTTAATACCTTTATTGTATAGGTAACTATAGATTAATATGCCAATATAGCTCATTGAAGATGACTCATTTACTGTACAAGATTGCACAATATAATGTACTGTGTTAATATAAAATACTATCATTAGACTTTTATAACTAGCGCCCCTTCCTCTCTGACAATATTTTTTTTAAAAGTTATAATTTGCTACGTACACTAAAAGCTTAATGATCATTTTTATGTATTTGTGTTATAAAGTTTTTTTTTCGAATGAGTAATTGACATTAGTTTTGAATGAACTTTAATGTTATTTTCATATTATGGTACAATCTTGTTTCTTAAATAATTATTATAATATTAATTTTATCAATAGTAGAATATATTATATTTTGATGTAAAACCTAAAAGTATCAATACATATAATTTAATCATGTTTCGTGGTCAACATTACACATTTTCGAAAAATTGTTATAAAAACAATATAGCGAACGATAAATGTTATTAGAAGCTTCATACAATAATATTATTCGTTTATATAAAAAAAAAATGTTCATACATTGTACTATACGATTACATTTATTCAAAGGATGAAAAAATCCTTTTAAATTGTATATAGTCACCAAACTTATCCACACAACTGACATTTTCTAGGGTAGGGTAGCCATCTTTAAAATTGTGAAAGTAGGTAGTGGGGCAATGGCCCCCAACTAATGGAGGTCTCAAGCCTCCCCCAAATTTTTAGAAAATAGATAATTTTGTTAAAAATTATGTATTTTCAGTTTTCATGATGATTTATAGATTTTTTGGTGGCTGAAAAATTGTCATAGTAATCTAAACTTTTTTTTTTTAATTCTTCAAGTATCGATGTTCTATCAAATCTAAATGATTTGATGCGTATCTGAGAAGATATTGTTTTATCATGATGTGTTTACATTATTTATTTATTAATTTTATTTTGGCGGTGGCGGCGAAGACTCTTGGAGAGTCATAAAGCCAAGAAGAAGAAGAAGAAAAAGAATTTTATTTTATATTTCTTTATTGCATTTAATTTTACAAAAAAACAGGGTTAAGATTTTTAATAGAAGTAAGATGGAAATGTAGCGTATCATGAATATCATGAAAATATTATTAATTTGAAGTATTTTTCTATAACATATTTTTTTACTTTAACACAACAGCTTACAATCTAATTTATTTTATTTTTACGGTTAGTATTAACACCTTTTGTCGTTTAACCTTGGCTTAATCAAATATACGCAAACAACAAGTGCTATTGTACCGCGATTTGACTTGTGCATGCCGGTGTAACCAAAAAAAAAAAAATATATCTGTACAGTTTGTACATATATGATATTACATTTAAATTAAAAATATATTTTCATGTAGTTTTTTATAATTTAGAAAAATATTTCCGTCCAGGGCAATAAATTGTCGCTTTCTGACCTATCCGTAAATGTGGTATTGCTTTTACATCGAAGCGTTTATTTGAAAGTGATTATATCACTTTCAGTTGTAATATGCTTAGTTCTCACTATGCCTCGGCCCCACGGTACTGTTTGCTGTTATATCTTCATTTAAAAATTTCTGATAATAAAATTTAGATTATATTGTCGTTATTATTTTCCTAAAAAATTGAGTATTTCTTTTCTTTTCGGGAATGTATTAAAATCACGTTGTAAGTTGTGTAATTTATTTTTCCTTCTTGAAATTAGGGAAAGACACGTTTTGATATCATGTTCTGTACAGGTATTTGTCCACCTGTTAGTTGTAAGTAAATGCGTAAAAAAAAAAAAAAAATTATAATAATTCTGGTGGGAAATATAAAATTCAGCAAAATTATAATAGTTTCCCATTAATTTTTTACAAAATACAATCTTATAAAAATAAAAATAATTTATATTGGTTACCATTTTCAACTATTTTTTAACTGTAAAATAACAAAAAAAACTAAATAACTGATATAGTAGTTAGTTCCACTGGTTTTTTATTTTATTTTATAATAAAATCTATTGAAAATATTATAAGGTTCTTTATTTTCGTAACATTTTGTCAGGTGAGTCATTCAGTTTGATAGTGATTAATCTTGAAATTGTTTTTCAAAAACAAATTTAAATACATTTTCTCGTGATATTTTGTATTCTCGTTGGACCATATAAGATTTAATTTAACGAGTTAATTTTTTTTCATTGATTTTCGGTTTCAAACATTTCCGGTAAAGCATTCCGGAAAAAATAAAAATTTGATTGTTCTCAAAAACCGTAAAATAACATAAAATCCTAAATGTCTTCCAAAAGTAAAACTACAAAATGATAATTGCTTTTAGAAAAAACATTTGTGGATTACATCAATAGATCACCCTGTCTATACGCGGAGTCTCAGTAGTCCTCCCTTTCCTAACATCCTCTCCAACTTTTTAAACATTGTTAGACTATATTTAACATTTATTATGCATACTCGTTTCTTCTGCTGTTCAAGATGGCTTCCAAGACATAGGATAGATAATATTAAAATGATTTCGAAATAAAAACGTCATTTTTACGGTATTACAATATTTATTTAATCATTTTATTATCGACAAAAACAAACTTAAAAGCCATAGGCATCTCATATTATTAATATGGATATTTATATGCATTAAAAGCATTAAATTAAAATATATATTATTTAAGGGTAAATCACTTTGAAAAGAACAATAAAACATGAAATTTAAACCTCCTGACTCATTACTTTCATATAACCCTCATGCTTTAAATTATTCACATACCTCTCATCACTATCTTCTATTTTAGCGTTCTTGTTATTCTCGTCATTCTTGGCGTTCTTGTCATTTTCGTCATTCTTGGCGTTCTTGTCATTATTGGCATTCTCGTCATTCTTGTCATTTTCGTCATTCTCGTCATTCTCGTCACTCTCATCACTCCAATCAACCTCATCAATCCAATCATACTCATCGCTTTCATCACTACAATCACAGTCATCACTATCATCACTCCAATCAATCTCATCACTCTCAAAACTCTCAAGACTCTCTTCATCACTATATCGTTCCATTAAACTAATATCTGCTTTCACTGCCGCCCCGAAGAACTCCAGGATGTCCAATATATGGTTGCCTGAAAAGTTACATTATTTTTAGTTAAAAAGTCTGTTTTATTTTATTTTGAAATCTACTCCAAAATGTAGACCACTAAAATATTATAATTATTGTGGATATATTAGTAATAATATCCGAAGATACTTTGTATTGTAGTAAAATCACTCTTTTCCTGTCTCGTAGAAATCATGAAAATGTCTAAATGGAAAAAATGTATTTACCGTATTGATAAAAATATATAAACCCCAACGATGTATAAAAACTCCAAGAAGCTATATCATTACCAATTGCATATTATCTTAAGCTATTGGACACTCTTCCCTTTTTTTTTTAGGTAGGATTGGACATGTGATTGGAAAATTACACGAACCTATATGAACCCTATAATTTTTATAAGGTACAACTTATTTTTTTCTAATAATTTTTTAGTTATTTAAAAAAATTAAGCCGATTTCGTTAAAACTATAATTTGCAATATTACCGTCGATATCGAACTTATCAATAAAACTGTCAACGTTTTCGTTCGGGCAGTATAATTTTACAGTTTCTATAAGTTCGGTTTTATTGAGTCCACCACTCTTATCCCCGTCAAGTGCAGCGAATGCCTGTAAAAGATCTCGAACTGAAGTGGTAGTATATACGGCCTGAGAAATAAACGAAGTAATTCATATAGTTACTTTTTAGATTATGTAGTGCACAAGAGGACGACCCACTCAGTCATTTGTAGTATGAGAACTCGGGTTTGCGCGAATAACATATTATACTCTATGGGCTGTGATAGTATCCAGTTAAACAACATTTTTAAAGGAAATTAGAAGAGCATATGATCTATGGCAACTTTTTGGTATATTTAATAACTTTTTATTCTATATGTCTTTATTGCTGTATTAATAAATATACACCATAGTTGAAGCTCTAAATTATGATTTAAGGAAAAATTTCCTACACGTAACTACTCTAACAAATGGTGTGTGCGTCCTCACTAAAGCATATAAAAGCCAATCGTAATAAAATGATTAATATTACATTTTCGTCGGCCTCTTCGTTGAGTACTGCAAAATAATCCCACGGATCATCGTACTTCAATGGAACGGTTCCTAAAACAAATTATTGAATAAATTTAGTTTTTATTAAACAATATATATAGAATCAGATTGGGGACGCATTAAAAAAAAACAAATGGAACAAATCTTAATTAAATTACAATTATCACGTAAACAATAAATAAAATATAACGAACGAAAGCGTCGTATACAACTTACAAAATTATAAATAAAACATCATTTTTTCATTTATTTCTTATAAATGACGAATTATCTCGATTAATTTACAAATAAATAAATCACATATTTTTAAGAACAATAGTGATAATAAATAATTCGAAACAAACTACTATTGTTGACTTATTTGTTTTTATATTTATTTACCGATAAATAATTTAAAATAATAAGCTGATTTCGTTAACGCTATAATTTGCAATATTACCATTGATAATGTGTTCTCGAATAGTGTCACTATTAAGTTGACCTAAGTCTTTGTTCTGACAATGATGTTTTGCAATTCCTTCATATTCGTTCATTCCGAGTGTACCGTTTTTGTCAGTGTTGTGCTCTGATAAATTTTTTAAACCTTCGTCAAGTGAAGTGATAGAAGATACGTTTTCAGCCTGAGATATCAACAGAGTAATTTATATAGAAGGTATCTTTTTAGATTATGTATTGCACAAGGGGACGTAACCCACTCGTCATTTGTGGTACGATAGTTGTGGTTGAGAGAATCATGGTTTGAGAGAATAAAATATTTTCAATGGGTCGTGATAGTATTTTCATAGGAGATTAGAAAAAGAGAGCATATTATCTATGGAAACTTTTTGGTAGATCCAATAGTTTTTTATTTTTATAGTTCCTCATTGTTACATTAAGAAGTATACACTATAGTTTAAGCTTAAAAAGATATTTTACCAAAAATTGTCTACGCTTTACTCTTTAATAAATTAGTGGGTGCGTCCTTACAAAAGCATATAAAAGCCAATCTTAATGATATTATTAATATTACTTCTTCGTCAGCCCCTTTATCGAGTTCTGCTAAAATATCCAACTGATCTTGTAACTTTAATGGAACGTTTCCTTAAACAAATTATTGAATAAATTTATTTTTTATCAAACAATATACATAGAATCATAATTGGGACGCATTAATAAAATTGATTAAATTACAATTAAATTACAATTATTACATAAACAATAAATAAAATATAACAAACAAAAGCGTCATATAAAACTGCTATGATTTGTTTATTTATTATTTTTAAATAACAAATTAATGGCGTTATGCAGAAAGCAGCCATTCCACAATGTACTTTTTGGATATAATTTTAAAACAATGATAGATAGTGCTTTACTTTAATGTTGGTTTGGCTGTATTTTGTAAGATACGTAATCTAAAATTGTGTATCTCGTTCTACTCCACTCTCGTTTTTCATAACTTAGATGGATAATTGCTTTCTACATAACGCCATTCAAATTATCTTGATTAATTCAATAATAAATAAATCACACATTATAAAGAACAATAATAATAACAAATAATTCGAAACAAACTACTAGTATTGATAAATTAATTTACATGTTTATTTACCGGTGAAAAATTTTAAATAATTAAGCTGATTTCGTTAACACTATAATTTGCAATATTACCATTGGTAACGTGTTCTTGAATGGTACGACAGTCATTATTCTGACACTGATGATTTGCTATTCCTTTATCTGAAGAGGTAGAAGATACGTTTTCAGCCTGAAATTCAACAAAGTTATTCTTATAGTACGTTTTTGGATTATTTAGTGCACAAGAGGACGCAACCCACTCGTCATTTGTTCTAAATCTATTTTAATAAAATATACTCAATGTGCTGTGACAGTATTGTGATAGTATTTTTTAAAGTTCAAGGTGTTTTAGTATTTTTAACAAATTTTTAAAAAATAGTCGAGTTTATCAATGTTGATTCACGCAATACTTTATTAATGAAAAAAACAAATTTTATATAAAATCTACTATGATAGCCTGTCAACAAAAAACTATAACCAATAAACAGTCCTCATTTTTGTATGATTAAGTATACACTATAATTTAATCTGTAATTTAAAATTTGCGAAAAATTTATCTATACTTTACTTCTTCAATAATTGGGTGGGGCATCCCCACCTCAAAAAGCATATAAAAGCCAATCGTAATCCAACTATTATTATTACTTTTCCGTTGTCTTCATTTGTGTGCTGAACTGTACTCTCTGCCGAAACAACCAACTGCTCTTCCAACTTCGACGGTGCATTTCCTAAAACACATTATTGCATAAAATTATTTTTTTTAATCAAAAATATTCAAAGAATCACTGTTGAGAAATAAATAAAAATTAACAAATAAATGTAATAAATCATAATTAATTTTCAATTATATATAATTAATAAATAATAGATATCGAAAGAAAACATAATTTAAAACTCTATTAATATAACATGATTTGTTTATTTATTATTTTAATTATTAAAAAATTATAACCCAACCGACGGAACGCCGCTATAATAGATAAGATTTGGGTGTCAAGTTTTTGGAATATAGGTTGGATAGTTTTACAACCATGAGGAAGATCTTATAATATTTTTTTTAATAAGAGACCTTTTTTCTTTATAAAACATTAGTATATATTATTTTTTTACCGAGGAAAAATCTCCCATTAATAATCGTTTGTTTTAAGTTAATTTTGAAATGGCGGTTTCGAGAGATTTGTTTACTAATTCCTACATTAACAATAACTACACACGTAAAACCACCTAAATGATCCTATGCTCGTCTTCACTAGGATAGTTATTTTAAATAATCAAGCTGATTTCGTTAACGCTATAGTTTGCAACATTACCATTGTTGTGGTGTTCTTGAATACTGTCACAGTCTTTGTTCTGACAATGATGTTTTGCAATTCCTTCAGGTTCGTTCATTCCGAGCGCACCGTTTTTGTCGGTGTTGAGCTCAGATAACTTTTCTAAACCTTCGTCAATTGAACTGATAGAAGATACGGTTTCAGCCTGAGATATCAATAGAGTAATTAATATAGTACGTTTTTAGATAATGTGGTGCATAAGGGGATGCAACCCACTCGTCATTTTCATTATGATAACATGGTTTGAGAGGATAAGATATTTACAATGGGCTGCGATAGTAGTGTGTTCATAGTATTTTCATAGGAGAATAAATAATAGAGCATATTATCTATGGAAATTTTTTGGTAGATTCAATAAGTTTTTATTCTATATGTTTTTATTGCTGTATTAATAAGCATGTAAACTATAGTTCACTATAGTTGAAGCTCTAAAAAATGATTTTAGGAAAAATGTTTTATACTTTACTTCTTTATAAAATGGGTAGGTATGTTTTTACAAAAGTATATAACAGCCTATCCTAATAAAATTATTAATATTACTTTTTCGTCGGTCTCTTTGTTATGTTTTCCTAAAACATCCATTCGATTTTGCCACTTCAAATAATCTATTCCTAATACAAAATATAAAACACATTTATTATTTTATTAAGTTTTAATTTTTTTTTTGAGTTTGGACTCATTAATAAAAAATAGAATACATCTTAATTATATTAAAATTATTACATAAATAAAAAATAACTTGAAAATTATTAAAAATGTCTATAAATAAAATATTATTTGTTTATTTATTATTTGTAAATAAGAAATTATTTTAATTAATTTAGAAATAAATAAATGAAATTATATTAAGAATAATAGTGGTAATAAAAAATGAAAAACAAACCATTATTGTTGATTAATTTGTACTTAAAAAATCAAATAACAAAATATGTTTGGTTAAAAAGTTTGTTTTTACCTTGTACATCGATTTCGGTGCTGTTCTCAGAAAAATTCCCAAAAGTGTCTTCAATTGAAGCATTAGGACATACGTACCCAGGCTAAAAAATCAACAAAATATTTCATAAATACCTCTGGATTACGCAGAGGACTCAACTCACTAGTCTTTTGTATTAAAAAAATTTGAATAAATACACTTTATAGGCTGTGATAACATTTATTTTATTTAGTATATTTTTAAGAAATTATTAAAAATTAGTCGAATTTGTCCACACTGTTAGTTTAAACTCAAGTAAACTTGTTTTAATCAAGAGATAAAGTAATGTTTTTTAAAAGAAATTACTGTGATAGTCTGACAACAAAAATAACATAACCATTTTAAGGTCCACATTGCTGTATTAATAGGAACATACTATATTTTAAATTTCCTACACTTCACTACTTTAATAAATGGGCGGGTGCGTTCTTATAAAAGCCAATCGTGATAAAATTATTAATATTAATTACTTTTCCGTCAATCTCTCTGTAGTAGTATTCTGAGGAGTTAACCATCAGCTCTTGCAACACGAATGGAGCCGTTCCTAAAATGAAATATTGAGTACATTTTTTATTTAATTATAATATATTCATAGAATCAGTTAAGAAACATTTTTAAATAAGAAATAAAAGAATAGAATAAATTTTAGTTAAATTACTATTTGTTACATAAATAATAATAATAATAATATTAATAATAAGATAATGAACTAAAACATTATTTAAAACTCAAAAAATATTATAATATAATTTGTTGATATTAATGATATTAATAAGAAACTAGATAATATCAAAAATGTATTCTTACGAGTGGTCTTTAAATCCACAAGGCTATTGTACTCATCTTTAACTATAGATAATTTTTTGTAAAAGTTTGTTATTTCAACATCATCAATGTGTTCGTCAACTTTTTTGTGATTTTTAATGTTGTTCAGCTCTTCAACCTGTTTCTTGTCTAACCCTTTTCCCTAAGTACAAGTATTTAAATCAAACAATTACAAAATATGTTTTTCTTAGACATGTTTAAATGCCTTTTCAGACAAATTCATTTAACGAAACCGTAAATTCTTACACTTTTTTTTGCGACCAGGTAGCCTTTTAAGAACTCCGCGGCGTTAATTGTTTTATCACCTGTAAAAATCCATTTAAATTATCAACTTTGACAACATAATAAACCGTTTCGTTAACTCAATAATACCTTCTTGAAATCGTGCTTTTAAAAGCATTCTGACTTTACTTTCTAGCATTAAAGCATCAATGACTTGTAATACTTCGCTGTACTCAAGTAGACCATCGTTATTGCCCATTCGGTCTTGTGCCTCGAACAAGCTAACTAAAAGTTGTACTTCGAAAGATGTTAAAATTCGGAACTATGTAAAAAAACGTATGCAAAAATAAGTATATAAAAATAATTAGAAATTGTCAATATTTTTTTTTGTTATTACCATCCAATCGTCAGATTCCTTTTCGTTATTGGCCAGAAATACCAAAAGATCTTGTAGTTTTTGATTGTTGTTCATATCTATTAGTGCAAAATAAAATAGAAAAAATTCTACACACATTACAATAAAGCTAGTCAAATTAAAGTCAAATTAGACGTTAAATTAAAAAATTGTTAAATTCTCGAAAGACGGATAATATTTTTTACAGACAATTTAAAGATTTAATTACAACAGAAACGATTAAACCCAGTTTTAAACGAAAATTAATTACCTTTCTTGAATTCAAAAGCTGACATATCTTTCAAACCCAATATTTTTGTTATTTCCAAAACTTTTTCCATGGGAAATTCGTTTTCACAATATTTGTAATTACCGAATACATCAATGATATCGTTGATTTGCATTCTAGAGAGTCCGATACTCTATAAAGTATCATATGTACAATAAAATAATATCACGTACAATAAATATTCTATTTTTATTGCAATTATAATTATGATGATGTTTTATGCTAACCTGTGTCACGGTTACGAAGTACAGCGCACAAAGGATAACAGCACTTTTGAAATGCATAATTTTTTTTTTTTGCAAACACTTTGTTAAACCAGATTTAAGTCTTCGATACGGAAGTCGGAGGAACAATGAAACTTGATTCGGGTTTCTTTGTAAGGCGTGATTGATAAAAATAACATAGGTATATAAATATTGTTAGGCAGTTGTTTTTCATTTTATTTTATTTTAAAATTGTATACTTTTAAAGTCTTTTTTTGGCCCAAATGTACAGTATTACACACAGTATAAACTAGAAAAATACTGCATATTTACTTAAGTGAAATACATTATTTTTTTTTCCTATACATTGCCCAAAAACAATATAACGAGCGATACATGTTATTAGCAGCTTCATATAACAAATTTACAAAAATACACTATTCTATTCGATTACTTTAATTCAAAGGATCAGAAAATCCTTTCAAAATGCGTGTAGTCATCAAACTTATCCACACAACTGACCTTGTGTATAGTAGGGTTGCTAACTTTCAAATGATGGCCATGGCCCCTACCAATTATGGTCAACGGACCGCCCCCAAATATAGTTAATTATGTTAAAACATACATATTTTTCAGTTTTCTTGAAGATTTCTACATTTTTTGGAGGGCTGGAAAATTGTCAAAATAATCTGAATTTTTCTTATAATTTCTTGTAGTATTGATATTTTATCAAAACTAAAATATGTGATGCGTGTCTGAGATGATATTGATTTTATCACGATCTGTTTGTATTATTGTTTTATTTATTTAAAAACAACATAAGTATATAAATATAGTTAAGCAGTTCTTTTTTGTTTCATTTTATTTACATATTATATACCTTTAAAGTTGTTTTTTGACCCAAATGTTTAGTATTAAACACAGTGTAAATCAGAAAAATACTGCATATTTAGTATTTACTTAAGTGAAATACATATTTTTTTTTATATACATCGCCCAAAAACAAAAACAATTTAACGAACGATAAATGTTGTTAGAAGCTTCGTATAACAATATTATTCGTTTAAATAATAAAAAAAAAAATGTCCATACACTATACTATAGGATTACATTTATTCAAAGGATAATGAAATCCTTTCCTATCAAATGGGGGCCTCGGGCCTGTCCCAAATTTGTTGAAAATAGGTAAACATGCTAAAAATTGCATATTTTTCAATTTTCCTGATGATATCTATATTGTTTTGGGAGCTGTGACACTTACATTTATAGAGTCGTTGAGTTATATTTTTCTTTTTACTGGGTGTACTTATTTAAAAAACGTATTCCTGGGATTATGGGGGGGGGGGGGGGCTGGATCCAAAAAACAAATCTGACTCTGAACAATCAGATTATATGACGGCTATGTATTATCACTAATGAGTAATGACTTTTAACAAATAATATTTTATAGTTCATTTATATCACCTTTATCAAATTTGATTCATACTTTTGACTTAGAGATTTAATTTCAGTTTATTATATATTCGTGGTACTGAGTGTATGCCCGTTTATTAAAATATGTTTTCCGAGAGAATTTAAAAAAAAAATGTAAATTTTTGTCAAATGAGAAGATAAGGCGAAATAGAATCCCCGAATAAATAGAAAAGTAATGGTTTTAGATATTGATAATTGAAGAAATTTAGTCGAGCATCCGTGGTACTTAATTGGTCATACCAATAATGGAAGCCAGCAGTTCATAGTTTAACTGTTGTCGAGATTGAAGTTTATCAAACATGATATTTTAATGATATGGCTTAATGGATAATTTTTAAATATCGCTTGAATATCCAAAATGTTCAAAATCACTTCTAGACTCCTCAATTCGTACAATTTACAAACTATTCAGCTCTTGTGAGAATTTTGGAACCCATACCAGTTAACATCTTTATTGTATAGTGAATACTTATTATAGTATAAATTTTATAAATAGTAGAATATATTTTGATGTAAAACAAAAAGTATCAAAACATTAGTTTACACAAGTTACAAGGTCAACATTTTAAAACGCTAACAATTTTCGAAAAATTGTTATAAAAACCTTTGCAAGGCCAAAAGTTTATATATCACCCCTTCCCCTTTAAAATTATAAAAAACAAATTTACTAGTTTTTTAACGCACAAAGTGTGGGATTTCATTGATTTAAAAAATAAAGCAAATATGGGCTATCAACTTTGAAAGTATGAAAAAAAATAAAAATTAAAAAAGTATTATCTTTTATAACCCAAGGTCATATTGTATACACAATTAAATCAGTATAATTTAACAGCGGTTTATATAATTGATAAAAATATTTTATTTAGTTAAAATTAGTTTAATAAATTATTTTAATAGTTAATATTATGTATTCCATTCTTCGGGAAAACGGGATTAGGATTTTTAATAGAAGTAAGATGAAAGATTGAAATGTAGCATATCATGAATCTCATAAAAATATTATATTCTTGCAGCATTTCGCTATAACATATTTTTTTACTTAAGTACGCCGGCTTACAATCTTCTTTATTTTATTTTTACGGTTGGTGTTAACACCTTTTTTCGTTTAACCTTGGCTTAATCAAATATACGCAAACCACAAGTTCTATTCTGTCGTAATTCGACTTAAGCATATACCGATGGAACAAAAAAAAATATCTGTACAGTTTGTACATATATGATATTACATTTAAATTAAAAAAATATTTTTTCATTCAGCATCCTAGGTACCTATTGGTTTATACTAACAATGTAAGCCAGCAAATCATAGTTTAACTGTTGTTCGAGATTGAAGTTTATCAAACATATCATAATATTTTAAAAATATAGCTAAATGGATCATTTTTCATTATCTCCTAAATATTCAAAATGTTCAAAATCACTTCTAGGGTCCCCAATTCGTAAATTTATTGTCTCCATAAAATAAACTATTAAGCTCTTGTAAAACTTTTGGAACCCATACCAGTTAATACCTTTATTGTATAGGTAACTATAGATTAATATGCCAATATAGCTCATTGAAGATGACTCATTTACTGTACAAGATTGCACAATATAATGTACTGTGTTAATATAAAATACTATCATTAGACTTTTATAACTAGCGCCCCTTCCTCTCTGACAATATTTTTTTTAAAAGTTATAATTTGCTACGTACACTAAAAGCTTAATGATCATTTTTATGTATTTGTGTTATAAAGTTTTTTTTTCGAATGAGTAATTGACATTAGTTTTGAATACACTTTAATGTTATTTTCATATTATGGTACAATCTTGTTTCTTAAATAATTATTATAATATTAATTTTATCAATAGTGAAATATATTATATTTTGATGTAAAACCTAAAAGTATCAATACATATAATTTAATCATGTTTCGTGGGCAATATTACACATTTTCGAAAAATTGTTATAAAAACAATATAGCGAACGATAAATGTTATTAGAAGCTTCATACAATAATATTATTCGTTTATATAAAAAAAAAATGTTCATACATTGTACTATACGATTACATTTATTCAAAGGATGAAAAAATCCTTTTAAATTGTATATAGTCACCAAACTTATCCACACAACTGACATTTTCTAGGGTAGGGTAGCCATCTTTAAAATTGTGAAAGTAGGTAGTGGGGCAATGGCCCCCAACTAATGGAGGTCTCGGGCCTCCCCCAAATTTTTAGAAAATAGATAATTTTGTTAAAAATGATGTATTTTTAGTTTTCATGATGATTTATAGATTTTTTGGTGGCTGAAAAATTGACATAGTAATCTAAACTTTTTTTTTTTTAATTCTTCAAGTATCGATGTTTTATCAAATCTAAATGATTTGATGCGTATCTGAGAAGATATTGTTTTTATCATGATGTGTTTACATTATTTATTTATTAATTTTATTTTGGCGGTGGCGGCGAAGACTCTTGGAGAGTCATAAAGCCAAGAAGAAGAAAAAGAATTTTATTTTATATTTCTTTATTGCATTTAATTTTACAAAAAAACAGGGTTAAGATTTTTAATAGAAGTAAGATGGAAATGTAGCGTATCATGAATATCATGAAAATATTATTAATTTGAAGTATTTTTCTATAACATATTTTTTTACTTAAACACAACAGCAATCTAATTTGTTTTATTTTTACGGTTAGTATTAACACCTTTTGTCGTTTAACCTTGGCTTAATCAAATATACGCAAACCACAAGTTCTATTTTGTCGTAATTCGACTTAAGCATATACCGATGGAACAAAAAAAAATATCTGTACAGTTTGTACATATATGATATTACATTTAAATTAAAAAAATATTTTTTCATTCAGCATCCTAGGTACCTATTGGTTTATACTAACAATGTAAGCCAGCAAATCATAGTTTAACTGTTGTTCGAGATTGAAGTTTATCAAACATATCATAATATTTTAAAGATATAGCTAAATGGATCATTTTTCATTATCTCCTAAATATTCAAAATGTTCAAAATCACTTCTAGGGTCCCCAATTCGTAAATTTATTATCTCCATAAAATAAACTATTAAGCTCTTGTAAAACTTTTGGAACCCATACCAGTTAATACCTTTATTGTATAGGTAACTATAGATTAAGTGCTATTGTACCGCGATTTGACTTGTGCATGCCGGTGTAACCAAAAAAAAAAATATATCTGTACAGTTTGTACATATATGATATTTTACATTTAAATTAAAAAAAAATATATTTTCATGTAGTTTTTTATAATTTAAAAAAATATTTCCGTCCAGGGCAATACATTGTCGCTTTCTGACCCATCCGTAAATGTGGTATTGCTTTTACATCGAAGCGTTTATTTGAAAGTGATTATATCACTTTCAGTTGTAATATGCTTAGTTCTCACTATGCCTCGGCCCCACGGTACTGTTTGCTGTTATATCTTCATTTAAAAATTTCTGATAATAAAATTTAGATTATATTGTCGTTATTATTTTCCTAAAAAATTGAGTATTTCTTTTCTTTTCGGGAAAGTATTAAAATCACATTGTCAATTGTGTAATTTACTTTGCCTACTTTAAATTAGGAAAAAACACGTTTTTATGTGATGTTCTGTACAGGTATTTGTCCACACAGTTACCTGTTAGTTGTACATAATTGCGTGCAAAAAAAAAAAATTGGTATAACACTT